TCGCGCTTCCCCGCCCGACACACCGCCCCCAGACGGTCCTCACCCCGGACACGGGCCCAGTACACCCGAGGCGCGTCATGGCGCCCAAATGTGCACAGAGCTACAGGTGGACTCGCTAGCACTTACCTGTCAGATACACACGCCGGGTGTGCCGTCCTGGATATACTGGGGCGCTGCGGTCTCTGGATCTGTCACACCTATGCACATAGCGAACAAGCCACCAAACGCCCCAGAGACCGGGGTCGCGGCCCGGCCGGCCGTACACAGGTCCGCGTGCTGGTCCGAGGTCCACGCCGCGCGAAGCGAGATCAGGTCCCTGCACTCCACTCGGGGCTAGCCGACGATTAGGACAATTACAGCTCCCGCGAAGTGCTGTGAAGGGGCACGGGCAAAGAGGGGTGAGAGGGAGCGGGAAGTCGCGGGAATGCGGCTCTGGGTCCAAGAAGGGAGCCAGAGGTGATCCCGGAGGCCGGACGTGAGAAGGGCCGTTTTGGAAAGAGGAAGTGTCTGGGGCCAGCAGGTGATGTGGTGGATGAGGGCGCTGGATTCCTACATGGTGGGCCATGGTTTGAGTCCTGGACCTGGTGGCTTGCTTTTTTGCTTTACCTTTCTCTCTCTCTCTCGGGTGGTCAAATCAAGAGATAACAATGACAAATGGAATTAAATAAATAAACAATTATTTGGGAAAAAAAGAGGAAGTGTCAGCTGTGTCCTGGTCTGACCACAAGTGTGAGATGTGGGACAGGGGCCACAGACCGCTGAGGGCGGGGAGGCGTTAAAGTGTGAGTTCCTGTTGGTGCAGAAAGTTCATACTGGCTCTTTTTCTTGTTCAGAGGGTACGTGCGCTCAGAGACAGAGAGGTGCACCAGCCACAGCCCTTCTGGGCTCTGCACCCTGGATTTGGGCTAGTGCACACCCATGTCTAGTGTTCTCTCGGGCCACGGGAGCTGGGGTTTGTCTTGCTCAGCCATGTGAGCTCTTAACTGTGAGGCTAACAGGCTGAACCACAAAACAAATTTAAAACCCACACAGGTTTTTCATAACATGCATTTCCTGTGAACTTTTCTTTTAATAATTATTTGTAGCTCTGTTCATTCATTCATTCATTCATTTTAATTTGACCAGAGAGAGACAAAGCAAGAGAGAGAGAGAAGGAAAGTGAGAAAGCAAGTCCCCAGGTCTGGGACTCGAACTGCGGTAGGCCATGTGGGAGTCCAGTACCCTTAACTACCACACCACCTGCTGGCCCAATTTCCCATGAACTTTTTGAAGACCTGGTGTGTTGTAGGGATGGAACCTGAGAAGACACAGGACACAAGTGGGGGCCTGGCCCTAAACACCACCAGGAGGGCTGCCCGGGCCTGAGAGTGACCCAGGAAGGAGGCAGGAGGCCTCTGCCTGGACGGCCCCTCCAGCTGAGAGCCCTGCAGTGGCTCTGCTGGTACCCCCACCCCCGTGGACTTGGAACCATGGCAGCCATCTTTTTTAAAATTTTTAATATTTTATTTAACTTTATTTATTTACTTATTTTAATTTGACCAGAGAGGGACTGAGCAAGAGAAAGAGAGAGATAAAGAAAGCCAGCCACCAGTCTGGGACTAGAACTGTAGTCGGCCATGTGGGCATGCTGCGCCCTTAACCACCCATGCCACCCGCCTTTGCACCCCCCCTGGCTGCCAGGTGTGCACAACTTCATTTCTTATTATTATTATGTTAATGCCAGGCTCTGCTCTAAAGCACAAAGCTCTGTAAAGGGGGGGGGCGCTGGAGGTGATGTAAACAGCAGGTGATGTCAGGCCTGCCTGCTCAGCCCCATGCTAGCTTCCAGCCAGGTTCTGGAACTGCTGGGCCAGGCCAGTGCCCTGGGGGCAGGCATGGTCACCAAGCCTATGGCCCAGAGGACTGAGGGTGATCCAGCAAGATGTTCTGAATGGACCGGTTCCCCTGTGCTGGAAGAGCCCAGCCATCTGGCAGCTCCCACAGCGCAAGTGTCACGCATAGGGGAAGTTGCTGCCTACTCGCTGGCCTGCCCTCTGCATGGGAAGGCAGCCTGGCCAGAGGCAGGGACCTGAAGTGTGGGAACATCTGCTGGATGGCCAGGCCTAAAGCTGACTGTGAGCAGAGACCTGGCCCATGCCCCTCTGCAGGAGGCCCACACTCCACCCTTGTCGGGCTGGAAACTCAATTCCCCTGGCCCAGCCTCTGACCCCAATTGGCTCAGCCTCCACCCCCACTCCTGCCCAGACATGCACACAGCACACTCCCGGCTTCACCGCCCTCCGCACCCCACCCCGGCCTGGGGTGCGAGGACTTGCCGAGAACGCCTTCAGAGACTCCATGGCCCACATGGCTGAGACCCTTGTAGGCAAGTCACCTGGGGGCAGGCTGACCTGGGGGGCCTGTGTCACCAGGGCACCCCCAGCCCAACAGCCAAAACCTACAGGGGAGGTTGGGGTCACACTGCAGAGCTCATGGCTCCAGAAGCATCCTCTATGCCATGGTGACCAGGAGACCACCCTTCAGAGAGCAGTGCACTGCTACATCACGGGCCTTCTGGCCATGCCTGTCCCCAGGTGAGACCTGCCACCTTGTGTCCTGAGTCCCAACTCAAGCCTGCAAAGTCCCGTGTCATCCTGTGTTGAGGGGCACTGATCTGACTGACACTCTCCCCACCCACTAGGCCACAACCCCCCGTTCTTCACACTGCGGCACCAGCACCAGCAGGCACATGAGAGCTTGGGGGCCAGAGGCAGTTGGCAGCCTCAAGCTCTGACCCAGAGTGCCAGGACTCGGTCTGGGGGCCACTCCAACTACAGCCGTGTGCTCACCTGGGACTCCAGCCGGGTGGCCACGCACCCCTGGATACTGTCTGCCACACAGGTACTCTACATGCCATGTGATGCAGTGTCACATAGGGTGTGCCCACAGTCCCCCTGCACTCTCGGATGTAGGGGTAGGACCCAAGCTCCCGGCCTTCCACAAGGCAGAGGCAGACTCAGAGTCGCCAAGGCCATTCCTGCAGCTGCAGCGGCCCCTGCAGCACATGCCACAGGGGGGCACCGCTGGCCCGGCACTCGGCCCATGGCCTGTCCTTGACAAAGCACAGGTTCGTCTAGGCTGGGGTGCAGTGCTCCCCCGGTGGCTGCTGGGACTGCTCCACACTTGCTGCAGGAGCCCACCTGGGCACTGCCTGGTCAGGAGGGTGAGGCCACGGTGTCTATCCATGACGCCAAGGAGGCGGATGCCTCTGACCCTGCTGAGCAAGGATAGACCACTGTCTCACAGGGTTCTAGGGCAGAGAACACGCGGAGCCACACGTCACAATTGCCTGAAGCGCGGGGACTTTAATGGGCACTGAGAGGGCCATAGGTGGGGAGACACCTGGCACCCACAAAGCAGTTGGTCACGGTGGGAAGCAGAGGGTGGGGCAGGTCACCAGCTCACTGAAACCCCCAGGAAAACAAGCTGAGCTCCTTCAGAAAAGTCTGAGGGCCACCACACAGGACATTCCTGCAGAAGACGGCCGAGTGGGCTGATAAGAGGCTCAGGAGGGGGTAAAATGGGGAGACTGGCAGGACAGCCTGCTGCATGGACTGGGAGCTATGGCACTGGGGAGTGCACAGAGCCAGAGGAGAGACAGAAGAGGCTCTGGGGCGCACAGTGGCTCGATGGGGCAGCGAGTGGCTAGGCAGGGCCGGGTTGCAAGGGCATCTGGGCAGCACCGCAGAGGGAGGCAGGCAGCCCTGGGAGCAGGAGAGGAGGGTCTGGCTTTCTTGAAGAGCAGCCAAGGCTCAAGGAAGCTGACCAGGGGCACCAAGAGCACGAGTTCAACCTGGGACCAGGAAACAGGACTGGGGACAGGGCCCAGTCCTCAAAAGACGGAGTCTAGGCATGCTGGGCTGGCCTTTGAGGCCAGGCCCTCGGCAGGGTGAGCTGAGGGCTCCAGGGGGCAGGACCGACAGCAGGAAGCAGTCCCTTTACTTCTGTGCCCAGGCAGGTCCACACGGGCCAGACACACAGGCTCACAGCTGAGATGTTCCGCCCATGGCTGCACCTGGGAGGCTCCTCAGGGCCCCGCCCACTAGCACCACCTCATGTGGGGGGTAGCTGGGTCGCAGGGCTTGCTGGGAGAGGCCCTGGCTTGCCAACGTTTGTTGAGCATGTACCTAAAACCTTGGGCACCTCACGAACCTACGGGTAGCCCTGCTGTTCAGAGAAGGGGACCAGAGAGCCAGCTGTGCAGGAGGCCTGGCAGGAGGGCCTGAACTGCTGCCAGGCCACAGGGGCCTCAGGTGGGTGCAGCCCCTGCACCCTGAGGCTCCATGGCCATCGCCCTCTGCTGGCGTTCCAGCTGTTCACGCTGCAGCTGCTCCTGCTCCTGGCAGTCCAGCTGCTGCAGCTGCTGCTCCACGTCCTCTGGCACCTGCACCTCCAGCAGGTTCTCCATGCCACGCTCAGGCTCATCCCCAATCAGCACCTGCCAGCAGGGAGGCTGGTGAGCAGCTGGCTGGCCAGAGCCCTTCCCCAGCCTCTCCAACCCTCCACTCACCTGGATAAGCTTCTCACAAGCGGCGCGCACATCGGGTTCTGGCTCCCAGCTGTGCAGTTCACGAAGGATCAGGTAGGTTCCCTGGTCCCGCACCTGCTGCCGGCCTGGGGCAGTGGCTGTTAACTGGGGAGATGGATGTCGTTGCCCAGGTGCTGGGTTCCCCCGTGTGGGCTTGTGCAGGCATGTGTGTAGGAGGGCCCCTGCTCACCAGCATGATAGCTTCGATGAGCATCTTGCGGATGTCAGCATCTGGCTCCCGCTGCTTGTCCGGGGGCAGGTACTGTAGGTCAACAGGCAGTCCTAGGAGGGAGGTGGGAGCCGTTGGGGCCCTGGGCAAGCTGGCTGGGCCAGGCTCTGCCTGTGCAAGTCCCACTGTGTTCAGCAGCTCCCTGCTCAAAGGTTTCAGAAGGGGACTGGGGTCTAAACACCCGCTCTCTCTGTTCCTCCTACCCAGCCTGTCCTGAGGCGGAGCCCAAGCTACTCACGGTCCATCTCTTCTTCAGAGAAATCCTCAGGCCCAGCCAGGGGCAGCAGCAGGAAGGGGAGAATGTCCACCTCAGGCCCCAGCAACCACTTGTGGTGTTCTGGGGGCAAAGGGACAGGGGTAGGCTTGTCCAGTGGGGCCCAAGAGACCAGTTTTCACCCCTCTTCTGGCAACCCTCCAAACCCTCACCACCACTCACGGTGCTCAAAGCAGCAGTTCCGTAGCGTCCCCACCACCCCACCCCTGCGCACCGAGGAGTCTGGGTACTGGGTAAGTGGCAGCAGCCACTGGATCACGCACCTGTTGGGAAGGGCCACTCAGTGCTGTCGGGCTCTCTGCCCTCCCCGCCCCTCCCGCACAGGCGGCCTGGCTCACCTGTCTGGGTCCAGCAGGAAGGCACGCGCCATGGGCCTCTGGCTGAGGTTGGAGAGCAGCGGCCCCAGGTAGTGCAGGGGCGCGTGGGTGTTGTAGCCAGGGGTGCACAGTGCACTCACCAGATGCTCCAGGCCCGAAGCCCCCGGCTCGACCGCCTCCAGCATCGCTGTCACCGCGGCACACGGCGCTGGCTCGCGGCTGAGGTTGGCCAGCGCGGCGGCCGCCTCCTCGGCCCAAGGCCACTGAG